CCAACTAGCAAACTCAGTAACCTAATAGACATAATATTGCAACCATATACTAAACAAATTAAAAGCCACATCAGAGACATATTCATTTCCTTAGCTGCATACCACAAAAGGTAGATCCGGGAACGCTTATGGCAACTTTTGACATCAGTAGCCTATACAGTAACATACCCCATGAACTAGGAAAAAATAATCTCATTCTGGATTGAAAAACATCCAGAAATACTACATCTGAGATTCACTAAAGAGTTCATTATCGATAGTATAAACCTAATTCTAAACAATAACACCTTTGAATTTGACAACAAAAACTATATCCAAACCCTAGGTACTGCGATGGGAACAAAATGGCACCAACATATGCCACCCTAACATTAGCTTACCTAGAAGAAAACCTCTATGAAAAAACAATTCTAGAACAAATATATGGGAAAATATAAAAACCCAATTCACTAAATCTTGGAAAAGATATCTAGATGATTGCTTCATCTTTTTTTTTTCATCATGGGGTGATATTAACCAATTCCATACACTACTTCAAAACTTACACCCAAAAAATCAAATTCACGCAAAATATATAATTTTAACGAATTACCATTTTTAGATATACTCATTAGAAATAAAAACAACCACATAATCATATATATCTACCACAAACCCACAGACACCCAACAATATCTTCATTTCAAGAGCCATCACCCAAAAAGCTGCCTAAAATCCATCCCCTATTCCCTAGCACGTAGAATTTGTACAATAGTGACTGATAAACATCTCCGAAAAACCCGCTTAGAAGAACTACATAAAACTCTCAAAAAACGAGGCTACCCCACAACACTAATAAACAAAGGTTTTTGAACTCGCAAAAAAATTCCTCTAGACCAACTTAGAAATAAAAAGAAACGTAACGTCGAACAAACTCTAGCATATGTCTCAACATTACAACAAAAACAATCCAGAAATATTCACAGAAATCACAAAAAATCTAGATTTACTTAGCAAGAATAATAAACTGAATAATATACTAAAAACAACCAAAATAATTAAAAAGCAAACGCCAATCTAGAAACCTAAAACACATATTAACCTCATCTAAATTTAGTCAACACAAAATACAGGGAGTCACAAAATGCAACAAAAAAAGATGTGGAGTTTGTGACATCATTATAGAAGGAAACTCCTACACTTTTGAAAACCCAAAAAAAAACATTCATAATAAATAAAAAACTTAAACTGCAACTCCAAAAATTTGTAGTTTATGCACTTAAATGCACAAAATGTAAGAAGTCATATATAGGCATCAACCAACAACTGAACAACAGGGTCTCCCTACACAAAAAAAATATAAAATTGACAGACAACAGAAAACTTTTGTATCACAACACATTTTCAAATGTAACCAGGGTAAGTTTAATATCATGCCGATATATCAAACAGACAATTATTCGTATCTACAAATACAGGAAAAAACTTTATATAAACAAATTCAAACCCGAACTGAATAGATCATAACCCCCCCCCCAAAAAAAAAAAAAAAAAAAAAACATGACACACACAATTTGACCAAATACAATGATCAGCTCACATACATGGACGCATACTCATATATATACGGGAGACACGAGAAGATATATATATGTAAATGTACACATATACATACATTTATGTATGTATATATATATATTGACAACTTAAATATATACGTGTGTGTGTGTGTGTGTGTGTGTGTATGTATGTGTGTGTGTGTGTGTGTACTGGTTCCATGTAGCTTGGGAAATATGTGTGTATATGTGTGTGTGTACTGACTACTTGTGGTGGGATGGTGTGTGTATGTGCGTATGTGTGTGTATGCGTGTATAAGTACAAATAAGTTTACGAATTCCTCGTAGTAAAAAAAAAAAATATACGCACGCATATATACACGCATGCTGACAGGAACACGCCAAAATAGAAACAGATCCAAGAACACATAGAGGTCACTAAAACATTAAAAGATTAAATGCCGATAACTACTCGCTGGACAAACCTTAATTGTTTTATGACCCTTCACGCAGAACTCTTCATTGACAATTCTAGAAAAGAAAATTCGGATTGCCAACACACAAACAGAATGTCTCATATCGAGAATATTCCACATTGAACATGAAGAAAAATTAATTATTTTTAATAATATGTAAAAATCTCCACTTTCACCTGAAGACGGTTGCGAGACCAGACCAGAAACACGTGTCGTGAAATTATGTAAAACAAAGTATAATATTTTTTCTCAATAAATCCACATTACAACCAAAAACGTTTGCGGCACCCCTCTTCTTTTTAATATATATATATATATATATATTATCCCTCAGCGATAGCACAGCTCGGAGTTTCATGCGCAAAGCAATATTCAGGTACTGAAGATAGAATGATCGTTTATTTTATATTTATTTTTTATGCCTACATGTAACAATCATTTCTCTTCTTTAATGACCTACGGTTATTTAAATGTTTTAAGATAACCAGTTTTTTAAGGGTTTAATCTTCCGTCACAGGACCAGAGCCTGCTGGCATGCAACTGCCAAACTAATATCTTGCATAATAGTACGGACCCCAAAATGGTTCTGTAACCCTCATGACAGGTTAGATCAATAGCTGCACTAGAAAATCTCTCATCACTGCGCGATAAAATCAACTGAAATCTAGTATGATATCATTCTGAATCTGTAGGTGCAGGAGTAGAGGTTTTCCTTTGGCATTTTTTTACCAGCACCGATCGAACAATGCATGTAAATCGCTCAGACATTACTACATACTGATTGAGATGAAAATACCAAAACATCGCTGCAAAGGTTTTTGAACAACTAAGCAATTAAAAAGACATCGTGATGGAAATAAAAAAAAAGTGGCACTTACTAACTAAAACTGTTCCTGTTGCGGTTTGAGCTTTGGGTCTGTTAAAAAAAGGAACTCAAGAACTAATCGACATAATCCCTGGCGTATGATCTCTCCAGGAAATCCGAAAAATAGTTCTAGTAAGCACAGCCTCTATCCGGCAAAGAGCGTTGTCCATTTAAGTTTTCTTTTTTTAACATGTTAATAGCTGTTTTTGTTTAATTATGTGTAAACAATAAAAATTCTTATCTTTCTCTTGGACTTGGTCATTGGTTAAGACTCAGCATGTAATTATAGGGTGACACAAAAAATCGGGAATTTTTGAAGTGCGTATTGCTAGACAGGAGCAAGTGGCAACACTGCGAGACAGTGACCTTGAGCAAGTAAACATTTCGCCATTTTAGTAACAATGGATCAGGGGAACGGACAACAGCGTGCGTTAGCAGCAGTCAATGAGAAATCTCAACAGCAGATTTCAAGAATGCATTCGTACAGGAGGACGCCATCTACAGAACGTAATTTTTAAAAAATGAAAATTCCATCATTGTTTCTTAAATGGCATGTTTTAAGGTTTCAATTACTATGAATAAAATATTTTTCTTTCATCCATCTTGGTCTTATTGGATTGTTAAAAAGTTCCCCCTTTTTTGGGTCACCCTGTATAAAACAAATGCAGGTAAAAAAGATTTAAAAAAATAATATTGTATAGGTGTTAAGTTGTAGGATGACTATGGCTGCCACATATATGCTATATAGACTCATACTGTCAGCAATATTATTGGCTCTTTTCTAGCATCTTGGCTTCAGTCATTTTCCCACCGGCATAAGGTTGCCTCCATGTGACTTTTCTTTAAAGATTTTTATCGTGATTGTTCGCTATGGTGCCTAGACGCTTTGAATTTAAGCGCACTACTAGACTGGCGACAAGGTCTGATCAGTTCAAAGTTGAGTTGGCGAGATATAATAAAATAAATTCTATGTTAACAGTTTCTTTCCTAGCACTTCCCGCTTGTAGAAACTTCTTCCGGTTCCATGATTTCCAGTCAACTTTGATCTTCAGAAATGTATGTGCAATGTCAAACGCTGTCTACTGTCCTGATTACTCTTTAGTTCTTGCTCCTTAGCAAAATTCCTGTTTCTGACTCTTCCATACCCAGTTACTCCTTGTATCTCAGTGGCTTTACTGTCTTGCATGGGGTGAACACGATTAAAACATGGAATCTCGTTTGATTATCTATCTATCTATCTATCTATCTATCTATCTATCTATCTGTTAATAGTTATATCTATTCAATATTTGAGATCATTGATTTTTATTAGTAATATGATTTATTCTGTTCATATCTATCGATTTATATTATCTATATTTCCTCTGCTATCTATCTATCTATCTATCTATCTATCTATCTATCTATCTATCTATCTATCTAGCTAGCTAGCTGTCACTGACTGTTAATATAGACGTTTCTATCTATCTATCTATCTATCTATCTATCTATCTATCTATCTATCTATCTATCTATCTGTTGTTAATATGCATTCTATCTATCTATCTATCTATCATCGGTTGTTAATATGCAATCTATCTATCTATCTATCTATCTATCTATTATCTATCTATCATCTAACAAGGGTGATATATGCATTCTATCTATCTATCTATCTATCTATCTATCTATCTATCTATCTATCATCGGTTGTTAATATGCATTCTATCTATCTATCTATCTATCTATCTATCTATCTATCTATCTATCATCGGTTGTTAATATGCATTCTATCTATCTATCTATCTATCTATCTATCTATCTATCATCATCTTGTTATCTATGATATTTTGTATCTATCTATCTATCTATCTATCTATCTATCTATCTATCTGTCTATCTATCTATCATCGGTTGTTAATATGCATTCTATCTATCTATCTATCTATCTATCTATCTATCTATCGGTTGTTAATATGCATTCTATCTATCTATCTATCTATCGGTTATTAATATGCATTCTATCTATCTATCTATCTATCTATCTATCTATCTATCTATCTATCTATCTATCTATCATCGGTTGTTAATATGCATTCTATCTATCTATCTGTCTATATATCTATCTATCTATCGGTTATTAATATGCATTCTATCTATCTATCTGTCTATATATCTATCTATCTATCGGTTATTAATATGCATTCTATCTATATATCTATCTATATATCTATCTATCTATCGGTTATTAATATGCATTCTATCTATCTATCTATCTATCTATCTATCTATCTATCTATCTATCTATCTATCTGTTAAAAATCTATTATCTATCTATCTATCTATATATCTATCTATCTATCTATCTATCTATCTATCTTTATTTTACCTGCTGAGGAGTATAACATATTCATAAGTTTTTAAACAACAATGTAAATGTTATTCTATGTGTAACCTTCAAAATTTACACGTTTTTGCAAGCGTTTATTCTTTTCTATTGTGCTTGGAGGCAACAACATTGCAAAGGATAAAAAAAGATGGAACAACAGGCAATTGAAAAAATATGAACTCCGTTTTACTCCCCTTCAGTTAATGTCAGTTCCTCTTTGACTTGGGTGGAAATGCACTTGGAAACCGAGACTTTGAGGCAAAGGAGCATATTTCAAGATGATGATGATGATGAGAAGAAGAAGAAGACGAAGAAGCTGCAGCTGCAGGCAGCATCAACGCCCCCGCTGTCCTGAAGATCGCTTTAACTTGGAACAGGCCACACAGTACGAAAAGTACTGTCAATCAATTGACATTTCATTTATAGTGCTTCAGGACCATTGCTTGAATCAAATACTGAATAATAATAATAATAATAATAATAATAATAATAATAATAATAATTGACGGAGTGATTAAATAACAAGGAAGTCTTAAAGAAAATGGAAACAGAAAGAACACTTATACACAGAATCAAGATAGAGAGCTGAAATTCTTTGGATACATAATGAGGAAGGACAGTGTGGGAAGCATAACCCAAACTGACGGGTTTGATGGAACGGGGCGATGGCGAGAGCATTAGTAAAGGGTGAAAATCTCCTAAGAACACCACGAGATGGGAAGTTGTGGAGAGCCATAATCGTTATTGTCCTGAAAGGACGCGACCACTAGAAGAAGATGAAGAATAAGAAGAATACGGAAGACATAAGTTGACAGTATACGGAGTAAGCAAAAAAAAAGATTGAAATCAAAAGCAAAAATGAAAATCCTGGAAAAATCGAAACTGAATGAAAAAAAAAAAATCATGGAAAATATCCACAACGAGAAATAGTAATAATACGTATAATACTGCAGCCCATTATTGGCCTTTCATAGATGGCCTGAAATCTGAGAGAGAAGGATTTATTGTTGCAATGGAAGATCAAAATCTAAGAACTGGAAACTCAGTGAAAGAGGTCAGGTCACTATGCAGAATTTGTGGCTTACATCCAGAAACAATTGGGCACTTAATGTCATCCCTTTCATACCGTGACAAAATATGCCATTATATTTAATGAACAATATGTGGGATGTACAACCTGTCACAGGAAAAAAATGGCCGGGTTACAAACAACATTCTGTGATATCTAATGAAAATGTATCTGTACTGTAGAATTTCACACTCTAATCAAACAAAACAATAAAATACAATATTTGCTGGAAAAAGGTGATTACTGATTGGAGTTGTTGGAAATATTTCAGTCAATTTGATCAATAAACTAAGCAAATACGAGGATTGAGTAACTGAAATTTCATCTTGAAACTCAGACAATCCCGATTGTTGTTTTTCGTTTACTTGGAACAATAATAAAAAAAATATAAAATCTGCCGGACCGTGTTAGGTTGTAATACAGAAAAGTTGCACACATTCTCAGAAAAGACTTATCACTAATACAGGTGAGAGACCTTTACTATTTCACGTAATTAAAAAAAAAAAAATTCGCTTTCATATTTTGAAGGTTCTTTGTTTTTACTGAATTTTTCACTTAGGCCATGATTTTAATTTTTCAGACTTTAGCATTTAATCTATTTAACCATTTTAACTCTCTCTGTATATATTTTACCAGTACACGGGCACATTTTAATGAAAGCGTAAATTGCTACATGTATTTCAATAGCAATTAAGAGAAAGGAAACATTATTTCAGCGATAGGCCCTACTAACTGTACCAAAAATCATGATCTGCTGACTTGAAGTCTTTTTAAGTTTCATGATGAAACGTTGAGACGGAACGTAAACCTAACAGACAGAAAACAAAATATAATAATAATAAAATTATTGATTGATTGGAAAAAGTTCCGATAGACCCATTGAAGTGATTCGTGGTAGCCCATGCCTGAAGATTGTAATGTATCTTTGAAGATCTTAAAAAAACTATCAAAATACAAGGATCATCAAGTGGAAATCTAAAAAAATATGGCATGTCAGAATATCAATAATTCCAGTTGTATTTGGAGCCCTCAGATTGATTGAAAAATGTTCTGATAGACTTATTGAATGGATTTCAGGTAGCCTATGCTATAAAGAAATAGAAAAAAAAATTGTAATCGGAAGTACAGCTCACACATTATGAAGTGCTTTATCTATGTAAAATCTGTGTGATCTTAGAATTTTAAAAATTTTAAAAATTTCTTTATTAAATATACTCAGGGGAAAATGTCATGAAGCCATTTCTAACCTTATGTCTCTGGTTGGGACCCGGAAAGAAATATGTATACAACAGAAATCAAAAGCAATAATAATAATAATAATAATAATAGTGAAGTGGCAGAAAGAAAGAAATAATAATAATAATGGTGAAAATTTGGAAACGAAGAAGAAGAAAGGGGATGATAATTACATAATCAATACTAATAACATACTACTAATAAGAGTGAGGTAGAGAAAAAAGAAAAAAGAAAGAAAGAAGAAATACATAAATAAAATATCATCATCATCATCAACAACAATATTAATGAGGGTAAAATAGCAGAGAAAAAGACGAAAAAGAATATCATCAGCAATAATAATAATAATAATAATAATAATAATAATAATAATAAGGAAGATGAATAAATTATAGAACAGTAGAATAAGAAAGTAGAAATGGAAGAGAGAAATGGAAATCAGCAATAATAATAATAATAATAATAATAATAATAGGGAAGTGGTAGATTAGATGCCGTCAGAATTTGAATGGTCTTGCTAACGTATACTTGCCTTCAATGTTCAAATGATCATTCTGTAATGATGAAGAAGAGCGATTGGTTTTCATGACTGTCATAGCATTCTCTGTTGAACCTCCCGTGATTGCCCAATTATATTAAATCCAGCAAGTGATGATTCATTAGATAGTATTCATTAGATGGAGAACGGCGCGAATCACGTGAAGTGAAGAGACTCGTGTAAGAATAATTCCGTTAGGGAACATTGTCGTGGTTTTAAAGCCGAAAAGGATTGGAAAATTTCAGTGAAATGAAAATAATATTTATTAATGTGAACAGAACCAGGTACATATCTACCGAGTGACTTAAATAGGCAGACATATCTAGACGCTAAAAGATAGATATCGCCATGTAGGTAGGTAGGTAGTTAGATAAAATAGATAAAAACGTGGAAATTGAGAGAAAGAGGAAGATGTTTGGCAGATAGCTATATAAGAAGAGGCTGAGGTCAAGATACATACAGATGTATAACGAAATAGGTATGGGAAAAATTGAAGTCATAAGTAGAATGAAAGACAGAAATAAATGTAGTGAGATAGGTAAATAGATATGAGGAATACAAAAAAAAGAGGTGGGGAGTGTTGTATTGTCGAGATGAATTGCTTAAAGTGAGTGCTTAATATGTTTATTCAGCACCAGTATCCGGTGCTAAGGGATACATACAAAAAACACAAAAGAATAAGTTCAGTCACTTATGTGCCACGCATGATACACGCTTAGGCGATTATATATCTTTACGGTACATGACTGACGAGGTTGCCATTTCTTTTCAAGACTATAGAACCTGGTCTGTTAACTTATTTGCCCATAAGGGGGAGGGGAGAAGAAGGTGCGTACCTTTCCCAATGCATGTGAATGTAATGGATTTGACTGGAATTCGAACCCGGCTCTTCGATTCCTCAATCCGAGACGCCACCCATTACTCCCCCGTGTATATCCTAAACAATAAGTTACAAAACAATTAGCAATGAATAGAGGAGGGTTCAATTGTATATTTATAAGCAGAAACAATCGAAATTCGAATATTAATCAGCTTAGTATCAACTTATTAATCAACTTATTAATCAAGTGTTGAAGTCCTTAATCATAGACTATTTGAGGCTATGAGTCAGGCCATCTGGTAGAGTGCTAGCTACTTTACAACAAAGAGAGAAAAAAAAGATGTTCGTAGAGAGAAAAGAGAAAGAGAGTGAGAGAAAAAGACAGAGTAAAAAGATGAGATTTTAGATTGGCTGATTTAACGATATATCAACACTTGTTTGGATATATGACGTCGAATATAAGTATTACAGGAAAACGATCGTAAGGAAATTATAGATGGGAAGACATTACACAAAGAATAAAACATAGACATACAATGAGGAAAATAAGTATTTCATCCCTTCTTGATTTTCTGAGATTGCCAACTTACAAAAATGGAGACGGTCTATAATTTTCAAGGTAGTTCCGCCTTGAAAGTGAGATAATAGAATATTAAAAATTAGAATTTTAAAATTAGAAAATCAAATTATATTAATTTTTGAACATTTATTTCTTTTTTTATTTCTTTTTATTATTATTATTTTTTTTTATTGAAAAAGTATGTATTTCACCCCAAAGCAAAACATAACTCAGTATTTGGTGAAGAAACATTTGTTGGCAAGCACAGAAGCTAGACGTTTCCTGGGATGAAATACTTTTTTTTCCCACTGTAGTCTCTGCTTAAACTAGAGCCAGAAAAGTTAAACAGAGTTCCAGTTTGCATTTAAGTCGAAAGGTAGAAAACGGTTTAGTTTGCACTTGACTCAATTGATAAATATAATATAAAATGATGGGATGTATGTACGAACCTGTACGTTGATGGGATGTATGTAAAAACCTTTAAGTTTCAAATGGGAAAAAAAAAGAAGAAACCACTTAAATAAAAATTTCATGTTGGGGTAATTACAAAATAGCAATAAAAGTGAAAATCTAAGATAGAGAGATCTATTGGAATGGTAAAAAAAACCTTTCTTTTTATATTCTATGCTGAAATATATAAAATGTTTTTTTTTAGAATATATCTCTTAGACTTCTCATATCTACTGAATGTTATAGTTCTTTC